ATATATATATATATATAAATGATGCAGTGAGATAATATTTAAATTTTTTAAAATATATATTTATTTTGATTTTTATTTACTATTTACTATTTATTAGATAAAAAAATTATTTGTTTGATATAAAAAATATGAGAAATAAAGTAGAGTGATGTACAAGAGAATAGTATTCATAAGAGAATGAAACAATTGAAAAGTAAAGAAAATTTCAAGGTAATAGAGAGACATAGAGAAGAAAAAAAATGAGTGATCCATTTTAGTAGATTTAATTCACTAAATTATTTATATTATACATTAAATTTTAATAAAAGAGATATGGGATGATGTAATTATTTTTTATCTCAATTTTTAAGTGGATCATCATACATTTAAGAAAAAAAAAATCTCATATTTTATGAATAATCACTCATAATTACTTTAAAAATATTTTTCTTTAATTTTTTAACTTTTAAAAAAATTAAGAGACACGAATTGTCTCTTTTTCTTATTACTAGTATATATTTATAAAAGGAGACATAGTTTAGCATTCACTTATTGATTTTCAGTTTTTAACTAGACATTTTACTTCTAGATTTATACTACTCATCATCCGCCATAAAAAAAAAATCCGATACGATTATTTACTTTAAAATCTTTGATTTTCTCATAGTTATTTTTTTTTAAATCCTACAAAAATAAATATATAGAAGTACAAAGTGTTTTTTTCTCCTGCCAATTATAATTTATAATAAAAATATTATTAAATATTTAAATTATATTATGTTTAAAATTTTAATAAGAAAATATTTTTAACATATAAAATATATTTTAGATTTATAATAAATAACTTATATATTCTAATAAAAAAATTCTAAAAAATTTATTAAAAATTAAAATTATTAAAATTAAACTCATTACTAAAAATGAAAAGAAAATTGAAAGAAATGGGAAATAAATAAAATCAACTAAGAATAGAATATTCTCGTTGAAAATAGTCCTTAAAAACATTTACATTCAAGACAGTTATTTTAATCAACGTTATTATTACTAGTGAAAAAAGTATTTCGTTTTTTTTTAAAGTAAGTAAAAAGAAAAACGAAAAGTTATTTGAAAAATGTGTCTTTTCATTTATAAAAATTAATAAAGTTATGGAAAAGAATTGTCTCCCATTCTACTGATTAATAGGTAATTATATACAAGTATACAGGCTAAATTATCTTTCTCAAATCCTTAATATGATTTGGTATTATTCTGCAATAAAGGAGAATCAAAACGGACAAAATATACGTCAAATTAAATATTCTAATTAAGGAAATAATCTCAAGAATTATGCATGAGAGCATAACCCGTATAACATATCCCATATTACCCTCCAAGGTGGAGCATGAGGATTACAAATGCCCAGCTTGTTAAGCAGAGTCTGAAATTGATGTCGTCCCAAGGCTTTTGTAAGAATGTCGGCAAGTTGCTCTTGTGTCGGAACATATGATGGTTGAATGGTGCCTTAGCATATCCCATATTAAAAATCAAAACAAGAGTAAAATGTGACGGTATTTGAAACCTGTGGGAATGTGAGTTGTTTGTAACATGGTTTTTTTTTAAATAATAATTTATGAAGAAATAATTTTAAGAATAAAATCAACTCTTATATATAAAATACCACTATCTTCTACAAAAATATTTTTAATAAATTTATTTTGACGATAAATTTTTTAAAACTTTTTTTAACTTCATATTAAATTCAATTTTTTATTTATCATAATTATTTATAATTTAAATTTTAATATTTTAAAAATAAATCATCAATAAATAAAATAATCTTTTTATTATAATGCAAAAATTTTATCATAAATTTTAAATATAATTTATACACTAAAATATATCTATTTATTTAAATTCATATATCCAAACATAATATTTATTTTATCGTTTATAAATTCCTTCACATATTTAGATAATACGGTAATGAATTCATAATAACTTTTCAAAGTTTGAAATATGTGTGACTCAATTACACAGGTGTTATAATAACATGACTTGCATATATATACGTAAATACTTGATTTGGTTATGGATCATAATAATTTTTTATTTGATTTTTTTATTAATAGTATAATAAATCAAATCAAATAAGCTATCAAAAATAATTATGAAATATGAAAAGCCATCAGCATTAATCACAAACCATGATTCCTGTCTGTTCAAGATTAATGATGAGTTTTAAATAGTTAATTTTATTACATAGATTCCAATTTTATTTTATTTTTAATTTTTTTTAATAAATTAGCAATAAAACTAACTATTACACATTTTCTTACTTTTATTATAGTGTGATATATTTTGTTACCGCATTTTTAATTGCTAAATGTAATGAAATTTATAATTGTTAAATATAATTGAAATATTATTCTAAAAAAAATTAATTTATAAATTAAAATAATTTAAATAATATAAAATTTAATGCCTATGGAGAAGACAAATTCGTAATTTAAATTTCAAGTCATATTTGGAATATTTTCGTAATGCAATCAAAACATGTTTTTGAGATATAAAGGATATTTCAGATGAAGGTCATTACAAAATAACTCCCATTCAAAGTTAATGGGATAATAAAATTCATTCACGTATTTTGATTTTGCTTTTTCAAATCCAATCTTCTTTTATATTTACAATTAATACTCAAATAATTATATTTGTTAATAAACACTCAGCATTAATAAGGAAAATCTTTGAGGAAAGGGATTAGAGTAAAAGTGGGAGAAACTAAATTCGATTTTTGTCGTGTCCATATAATCTTTGCTATGAAAGAAAAGAGAGAGAGAAAAATCTTTCCGTTCGTTTTGCATAAATATATTAGAACAAATTATAATTTCTTTTTTCATCTTTGATATAAATTTAATTAAAATCAAATTTAATTTTAACCATGCTAATTTACATTTAGTCATTTATTCAAAACTTCAAATCGACTAATAAATTTCAACAAAATTAATTAATTAATTAATTAAAATAAAATAATCTGTGAAAATACCAAAATAATAATAAATATTTTCTATCTTTAATAAATAAATAAAAAAGTAGTTAATATGATGAATTGGTGTAGTGATTAAACATCTTGCACTCACACTTTGAGAGAACCATCTATTAAGTAGAAATCTCATGTTCAATATTGTTGTGTAAGAAAATCTTTCAAATTATCGATAGTTAAAATATTAAGTGAAGTTAATCTTTAACCCTAAAAGCAAGAGATACCAGTAACAGGACAAAACAAATAAAAAAGAGGAGTGATAATAACACATTTTTTCTAACATGCATTAATTAATTGAAAATTACAAATTCAAGAGAGACAATTATTAAATAGGATAGGATGTGGGATCCATCAAAATTTGTATTTTTTTCAATAATTTTCAATCAATTTAGAGAAGTGTGTTAGATAGTAATGAATTACTAACATTTCTCAATAATAAAAAAAATAGTTAACTTAAAAAATAAAAAACAATGTAAAATTAGAACTAATTTTTTTCACACATACATAATAGTTAACCTTTTATTAAACAAACAAGAATTAAAAATGATCGCAAACTAGAAAAAGTATTTTTAAATTTTGGAAGATGAAAAACAATTAATATATATATATTTACTACCACATTGTAGTGGTTTGTCACGAGGTTAAAATTTCATGAGTTAGTTTTCGTGAAATAAATAAGTTTTGATTAATTATATATATATATATATATATCCTTCACCACCACACCATTTGGTGGCAGTCACCACAACCTAACGGTGAATTCCTTCAAGGGCACATCATAATGCCAAACCAACCACCATTTATTGGTAACCACTACAACTTGCTGGTAAATTTCTTAGAACACGTATAATGGAGCAAAATTTACCACCTTGCGATGGTGACCACCACAACTTGGTGGTGCAAAATAGATTTTATTATATTTTCTTTTCTTTTCTTTTTTTGTTGGGCTTTGATAAAAAAAAAAAAAAAACATTTTAGGTTTTAAATAGTTACTTTTGGTAATGTTGAGGCACTTTAGGATTAGATTAGGAAAGACGGTAATTTGGAGAGAGTCAAAGTTCAGATCATCTTCTTCGCTTCTACTTTTTAGATATAATATTTCTCTTTTCTAGTTTTTATTTTGTTCCCATGATTGACTATGAATAATTATCTTTATTTATAAGATTGGGCTTTACCCTATGAACTTCGAATATATTATTTTATG